ATTTTTATTTTATTTTTTTAAAGCTCTGACTTGTATTATGAGTATGAGCCTGTGGTCTGGGAGAGAGTCCTGTAACTCTCTGTCTGCAAAATACAGTATATAATGACCATCCATCCATCCATCCATTCACTCCCGCTTATCCTTTACAGGGTCGCGGGGGGCGCTGGAGCCTATCCCAGCTGTCATAGGGCGAGAGGCGGGGTACACCCTGGACAGGTTGCCAGTCTGTCGCAGGGCCTATATAATGACCAATGTTGGGCAATTTAATTATATAGTTACTTCTTCAAAAAAGTAACTGAGTTTTGCAAACAACAAAGTTTTTTGCAGCTGTTTACCTAAAAATGCAGCCAAGGCGTTTTTTTAAATAAACATTTCAAACTATTTACAGAACAATCAGGTGTTTTGCATCAAATTTGATGCCACACAAATTATTTGTGCCACTCTAAAAACTAATTTCTGTCCACTATGAGATAAAGGAGAACAACAGCCTGAGACCTGCAGGCCTGACAACAGGAGATGTATCACTGCTGTAACACCTGTAGCACTCAGTGTCGCCTCATGGTTCTGACACACACAACAAAACTACTGACTACACTACACACTAACTACACAAGATTTGTGCTAAACGTTGCAAATCTCTCACATCTCAAAACACCGCCGTCACTCCTAAAACTTCCCCCCTTCCTAAACAACTAAATGCCATGTTGCCATTAGGGCTGCCACAAACGATTATTTTGATAGTCGACTAGTCACCGATTAATTTTGCGATTAGTCGACTAATCAGGTCATGCATCCATTGGACGTAAAATTTACAACTTATTGAACCAGCATGCATCTGTCTTATATAACTATCCTTAGCTTACAGCTTTAAGTGTTTAAGGTATGTGCTAACTAAAAATAAAGACAAGATGGTACTTTATTAAATTTTAATGAAATTTGCAGATTGTTTCGGTGAAGTTTAATAAACTCCTTGATATCTAAACTATAACGGGACACTGGAGTAAATTCTTGAGCATCTCACACTTCTGATAATCAGCTGTCTGCTTGACGTTTATTCAGCTGTGTAAAAACTATAACTTTAATCTCAGCCAAACCGATTTACTCAGGAACAAATAAAATACTAAAAAAAGCCAAAAAAATAACATTTTTAAGTTATCTAAGTGACTTATATATCATGTTTAACTGAGTAGCGAAAGACGGCGGTGGGTTTGAAAATGATTTGCCGGGAGTCCGATGTTCTCACGGCTCTAGTGAGCCTAGCCCCCGGCTAGCTATCGAGCTAGTGGGTAACAGACGTCTCCGAAAACGTCGGAGCGCTTTTGAAAATATGCGGTGTCTTGATAAACTGAGCAGATATTTGAGGTTTACACAGCTACATTCTCGCCTGAAAATATGTTAAACGTTTATTTTGTGACCCAGAAAGAATAATAAGAGTAATATTATAACTAACTAGCCGCCGCCATTGTTGGAAACTGAGCAGGGCCGCGCTATGAATTCTGGGACAGAGCTACTTCTTCTTCTTCTGGGGTTTAACGGAAGCTGGTATCCTTGTACATGCAGTGCTGCCATCTTCTGTTTCAGTCCGTTATTACACTCTTAAATCCTGCTACTTATTCCTGCGTCTGTTGTGATCTTACAAAGCTTCAAACGATTAACTCAGTCGTCGACGATTTTGATAGTCGACGTAATTGTGACTAGTCGACTAATCGTGGCAGCCCTAGTTGCCATATCATTTTTTGATTGGTTGACATGGTACATTTTTCGACCAATAGGAAAGGGTGGGGGTTTTTTGGTTTTGGTTTTGCTCACAGGCGGAGAGTGCTTTCGAGCGTTTTCCTTATAAAACGCCGTTTTTACCGTTTCTTCCCGCAGTAAATATAAACAACGATAGTATTCAGGAAGAAAACCAAACATTGCATATATTTTTATCATAACTCTGGTTTTACATGTGCGCAAGCGCACAGCTTAAAGCATAGGAGTCAAACTCTGGCCCGTGGGCCAAATTTGGCCCGCAGCCTAATTACATTTGGCCCGCAAAGCCATACCAAATTACTATTAGAGCTGGCCTACTGGTATTATACAGCTAATATATATATTATTTAGTATTAAGCTTTGCTTGTTCCATATTCAATTTTTCAGCAAAACTTGTTTGAGTCCATAAGAAAAGATTCATTCTTATATCTAGAGGAAGATTTTTTTTTCAATAAATATTAATGTTAGCCCGCGACTTTGTTCCAGTTTTGAATTTTGGCCCACTGTGTATTTGAGTTTGACACCCCTGGCTTAGAGGGAACATTGCCATTGGGATAGGTTGGAGGAAAGTGTATCTGGGCACAAGGGAGTGGTAGTGGATTAGTTGGATTAGCTGACAAGGCCAATCAGATCCATCTTCCTCAAGGTGAAACAGGCCTGAAAAGTAGTGAGCAGAGGGGGGCTCATGTTAATCCACCCTGCTTCCAACAATCGAAAGGGATATTTGCTTTATAAGTAAATATATTTCCTTATATTACTGATTCATATTATATACTAAAACAAGTCACAGTGCAACTAATAAAGGCTGCTGTAATTGTATCACAAAGTCTCTTGATGCATGCTCAATCATCCAGGTAAATGAATCCCCAAAAGTTGATTCTGTTCAACTGGGTGTAGCGTTTTCAGAGGGAGAAACGTTTCGTCACTCATCCAAGTGACTTCTTCAGCCTCTGGAGTTGTTTGTCATCAGCATCACATGATTATTGGTCCACATGCAGTAGACTTTTTGGGTGCAAAAGAAAGAAAAAAATCTAGTAATCGCAGGAAAAATTCAACAGAATGCACTACAACAACAACAAAAAAACTTAGTGGAGAAACATGAAAAAGCAAACTTCAAATAAAGCAAACTGAGGTTGGCAAACAACCTCCCCAAAGGAGACAATATAAAACAATATATACACTCAGAGAGATTAAAAACAAGACTGAAAATGAGAAACAATTGGCAGTTGTGTTATAATCATAGTAACAAATCATATTCTATGTGTTCTATACTCTGTCATTAAAAGATACACCCTGTGTTAACTGAGATGTACCATAGCACTGTGACTTGTGATTCCTAAATTTTAAATTTCCTGCTGGTCTGTAACATCAATTGTAACTGAATAATACACATACACTGACTGGCCAATTCGTTTGGCAAATCATTAATGCAAATATCATTCAGTCACATGGTCCAACATGATGCATTTACTAATATTCTAATATATGTTCATGACACAGTGAGGTTTCCCACGTGGTGTGGGAGTTGGTGACTTATGGCTGGCTTATTGATGCCAGAGATCAGAAAAGAATGGCTAAACTGCTTTAAGAAGATAAGATAAGATAAGATAAGATAAGATAAGATAAGACAAGACACAATAAGAAGATAAGAAGAACTTTATTGTCATTGTAGTTATACAACAAAATTTGTTTGGTAGCTCACAGAGGCCAGCAGCAATAAAACAAGAAGCAGCATAGTAATAAATAACCATAGTAAAAGTATAAGATATAAAGTAAAAGGAAGGCACTTAGCACAGTAAATAACAAAGAAAATATAATAGTATTTACAATATAACAAACAGTATAAGATAATATAACAGTATTTACAATGTGGTAGTTGAGTGCAAACATGAATGTCCCATAAAGTGTCTAAAATAATACGTATAACAGTATTTACAGTGTGGTAATTTAGTGCAAACATTAAACATTAACGCCCAGTAAATGACTTTTTACATTAGCAGCAGACATGATATGGGGTAAAAGAGAGAGAGTTAGCTATTGTGTGTTGGGGGAGGGGTGACACAGGCTCCAGCTCTGGGGAAAAAGCTGTTCTTTAGTCTGTTTGTGTGGGTTCTGATTGCCCCATATATCTTCCCCGATGGGAGGGGTACAAAAAGTCTGTGACCTGGATGGGTTGGGTCCTTGATGATGCAGCTAGCTCGCTTCTGTAAACGGCTAGCATACACAGTGTCAAAATTCAGGAGTTTGGTTCCAATGATCCCCTTGGCAGTTTTAAACTAATAGAAAGGCAACAGTAACTCTTGTTGCCACTTTTTAAAACCAAGGTATGCAGCAGAGCATCTCTGAACACTCCACATTGTACCTTAAAGCAGATTAGCTATATCGGCAGAATATCGCACTGGTGTCTTCAAGTGCCGGACTTGTAAACTAAGAACAGGAAACAGAGGCTACAATTCAATAAAAAAAAAACAGAAGATTGCAAAAACATTTCTCGGTCTGATGAGTCTTGATTTCTCTTGTTACATTTGCACTGTAGAATTTGGCATAAACAACATGAATCTACCCAGCATTATATCAGCAATAGAAGCTGCCAGCAGTGGTGTAATGTGTGGGGGATATTTTCATGATGCTCTCTGGGGCACTTAGTATCAATTGAGCAGCATTTAAATTTCACAGCCTGCCTGAGTATTGCTGCTGATCATATTCATCTCATTACAATTATACTATGCCCATCTTCTAATGGCTGCTTCCAGCAGGTAACACATCATGTCACAAAGCCCAGATAATCTCAAACTGGTTTCTTGAACATGACGATGAGTTCACTGTACTAAAATGGCCTCCATAGTCACCTCATCTCAATTCAATAGAGCATGTGATGGAATGGATATCATGGATATATAGCTGACAAATGTAATCATGTCAATATGTGGACCAAAAGTCTGCAATGTTTCCAGCACCTTGTAGAATTTATGCAACATAGAATTAAGATATTTCTGAAGAGGTCCAACCCAGCTAATGATGTGGTACATGAAGGGGCACAAATTATATCTGTATTATAATTCATTCCACAGAAATATGAAATATGCTGTGATGACAACCAAACTCTAATCCTGGTTCTGACCGTGTCACTGTGAGGGTCTTTTCCACTTGTCTTCTGATAAATTGATATTCTTCATTTTGTCACATGTGAATTTACAGTGTGCACTACTCTCACTGTGTCCCTCTATTGGTGCATTGTTTGCTCACAGAGTAACAGTAACAGCAGCCTGTAACATGGACTTCAGTCGCTTTCCTCTGGATTCTCAAACCTGTTCACTGGAGCTGGAGAGTTGTAAGTAAATTTCATCTGATGATAAAATGGTGCACATATCAAGTATTTCATTATTATTAGTAAATATCAATATATTATCTTCTTTTTAAATTGTATTGTCTACCATGTACTCTGCTATTTCTTTGTTTTGTTTTTTGTAACAGTTCCTCTATATTTGAACTTTTCTCCATACATGTTAGGAGAATTGCAGTTAAACCAGTATAAAACTGACAGACCATCATCTTGATGCATCAGCAGAGGTGGCAAAAGTGCAGACAGGGTTACAAAGTACTCCAGTAAAAGTTGAAGTACTGATTCAAATTCTTTACTCAAGTAAAAGTCAAAAGTAAAAAGCAAAGAAACAGACTCTGAAATGTGCTCAGAAGAAAGTAAAAGTAGATCTTTTTGAAAACATTTGCCCCAGCTGTTTTTTATGTAAAGCCAACTGAACCTCGTGCTATATTAATGTAATGTAATATACTCAGCAAGCAAGCAGAGTAAAAAAAAGGGTGAATTTTTAAAAGTAGCTCTATTTTCTGTTACCTCAGTCTGAGGAAAAGAATCAAAACTTTTCTTGGTGTACAGGCTGTGATCAGCTGCCATGCTAATACCAACTTTATGTAGCAAAACTACATAAAGTTGGTGAACCACATTCACTGAATTCATCTAAGCATCATATACTTAAATTCAAATTAATGTCTGCTCCCCATTATGCAACCCATAGCCACTGTGCACCAGTCTAACACAATTTTCTTCACTTTAAATCCATTCCAATATGGCAAATTAAACTTCAGAGTGTTTTTGCAACCTTTTAAATAACACAAAATCGTTAAACACCTCAATTTGTTTAGCAAGACTTTTCAGTATATCAAAAATATCAAAAGACATAACTTCACATCATATGCTTCCTTTATTTTTTCAGCTTATCAAATTCCTACTGTGCAGTCCTTACCTTTAAATATCACCTCTCTTCTTCCTCTCCTGTCCTGTCAGCCTCATTTTTCTATCTATGGATTAGCTCGTACTCGCTCGTACTCTTTTCTCTCCTTGGACCATTAAGAAGCTAGCAGACTGAGTGTGCAACAAACTGCACACAAACAGTTTGTATGTATGTATATTTGTTGACCTCATAGAAATGCTACATTTGAAGTTGCCGTTTAAAAAAATGTTACTGACTTTATGCTAACAATTGAGCTGTGAGGTCAGGTCCTTGATCATTAACATGCAAATTGTCATGAACATTGATCAAAAACCACTGATCAAAGCCCATTGATCATTGGCCATGAGTACCATTCACATTGTTCCTTCAGTGGGCTGGTTTCAGTCATTATGCAAATGTACTGTTTATAAGATTGGGGAAACCTGCAGTCAGCTGAGACTGAAGAAGTCACTTGGAGGAGTGATGAAACGTTTCTCCCACTGAAAACGCTACGTCCAGATGAACAGAATCAACTTTTTGGGATTTACTTACTTGGATGATTGAGCATGCATCAAGACATCCTATACACCTGCACACAACCACAAGTGGATAAACAGCTGATTCAGTGCTCCACAACCAGGATGTGGAACATTGGTTCTCCTGGATATACAGTTAGACTAATGGAAAGATTCTCCATAACGACCTATGCCAGTGGTTCTCAAACTTTTCACAATGAGTACCACCTCATAAAATATATGGCTCTTAAAGTACCACCCTTATGACCGACATTAAAGTACAGTAGTATAGGCCTATTTAACACCACATACTGTTTACCCAAGGCAATTTTATTTCTTATATGAATGTTATTCATTTTAACTGTCATAAACAGGATGTGAAAAGTGATAATAATAACAACTGTACTGCATTAAAACATTCACAGCAGGTGGGATATGCAATCTTTAAGTGATGACATATGAACCCTGCTTCCATGTCCAAACTATTCTACATTTATTAAGGCTGTTGTGTTTTTAACATGTTTTAATGTTTTGAATTTTGTTCTAATTATTTAGAACAAGCCCCTAAAAAAAGTTGGTGATCACTGTCATCCTCTCTTGGTTTTAATCATCACTATTCATTTTAAAGCTCTATTCATTGTAAAACCTTACAATGTAACTACAGCCCAGCCCATGCAGCAGTATATTAATGACTAACCTTGTATTGTGGATGGATTATCTCAGTTGTTCTCCTGACTGAAGTTTGGTCCATTTAAATCATCCCGACATGCAATTGCATTTGTCCCTAACCATCGGGAACCTTCACGTTAACTTTTATCGAGTGGAAAAAGGTTAGCGTTCATCCTCCAGCTTCACTGTGTTTATGTTATGCTAACTATAGCTGTGTAGCTAGCCACATCATTATATACCGGCTAGCCCAACTTCAGTAACCCTGCAAACGCTTTTGCTGTTTAGTTTTCTGTCTTCATTTATGTTGGAAGTGATAGCAGAGCTGTACATTTTAATTTTTGCTGTGGAGGTTAAGCTGCCGGATTTTTGGCTTCACAACCCTCCTTCGTGGTTTGTGCACGTCGAGGCTCAGTTTGCTCAGTTTGCTCGTCGTGGTGTTTCAGCCAACGACACAAAATGTGGTGGCCTTGCTGGATCCGCTGTCCACCCGCCATGTGATGACCCTCCTCTGGGATCTCTCCAGCCAAGGAAAATACACCGTACTCAGTACATCGCTACTGCGGTGCTACTCCCTTTCTCACATAGAGCAGGCCGTGAAACTCCTCTCTCTCTCGGGCCTGGGTGATGGTGCCACTCTCGAGCTCATGGAGAGCACGCTGTCCTTGCTAGGAGTAGATGACGGCGGATTCCTGTTCACTCACGTCTTTCTCCGATAGTTGCTGGTGCGAGGTGGCCTCGCCAGCTGGGTGCGAAGGATTAACGCCCTCTCGCAGAAGAAGTGGATCGCATCCTGACTCACTGACGGTATCTCCCGCACCCCTACCGATTCTCCCGGGAGCCTCCGACTCATTGATGGTGGCTGGGATCGCGGCACCGCGGAAAAGGGCAGTGTTTTTACCGTCAGCGTGACAGCACCATGGCACCTTTGCAGTTTTAAGGCCCAGGGAAACGAGCCTGCCAGCACTCTGTAGTCTGGCTGTGACCTTTTCTTTTTACTATTTAATCGTAAAAAAAATGGAGATTTCCCGCGTACCACCAGAGAGAGCCCAAGTACCACTAGTGGTACGCATACCACCATTTGAGAAAGACTGGCCTATGCCATTATGGTGCCGAGTGCACTTACAGACACTCTTATGCTTGAATGTGGACAAACTGTGGCTGTCAAAGAATTCCAACAACAACACACCTCTCTGGTTCAGATTGGACCAGAACAGTGCCAATCACACCCCCCAAGGTTGCACTGTCATTGCTGACGTGAGCACTGACATTTCCCAGTAGAACAATGGAGCACCACACCCTGAAATTACAAGAAGGCTTGGTACACTGAACTGTCATTTGGCAGATAATTACAGAGAACAGTCATTCCTAGGTTACCAGAACTGAGGCCATAGGGAAGGAAAGTAGGATTTGGTGTAAGATCAGTTGCAGTGGTGCCGTGTGGGGAAAATAATCACTTAAAAATAAGTCAATAATTTGTATTATGAGTTCTAATAGAATTTGATTTATGAACAGACTGTGATTAGCTGACCTGTGTTGCTTTGAGATACTGTGCTCGGTGGGACAAAAATGCAACTAGAACATGCTGGAGGTATTAAAGGTATTGCGCTACAGTAGTTTGAATGATATTATTCCAGTATGCTCCAATTTGTTCAGCTAAATGGAGAAATCTTCCTCATACAGTAAGGTTCATTTTGGAGTTGGTGTTGGTAATTTAATTTGTTTCAATTTATATTATTCACACCTCCCTCAGGCAATATTCTTAAAAGTCATAGCATACATTTTTCTCAGAAGAGAATTTAAGGGTGAGCTGTGCTACTAGGCACACATGTCATATTTACCATCAACTACAGGTTGAGGCATCTGACAGTCTGTATTATTTTGAAACACCATTACTCCTGCATCATTTTTTTCCTTTAACCTCTTTGTGTGTGTGTGTGTGTGTGTGTGTGTGTGTGTGTGTGTGTGTGTGTGTGTGTGTGTGTGTGTGTGTGTGTGTGTAAGGTTTGTGAGGTTATACCCGTAATCTACATAAGATAAGCACACCCCTAAAAACATTGTGTACGCTAGCTTAGATAAACACCAGGTAGTGTGGTAACTTATGCTGTACAAACAACTCAACAACATGCTGTGTGACAAACATGCATGAAAGTCTGCACCAGTTTCCAGAGCCACCATGGAGATCTAGTGTAAGTCATCCAGCATGTCCCAGTCCCTGGACATAGTAATGGCACCCAGAGAGAAGGTCCCAGAACACCACAGAAGCCGGGGGACTGCGAACAAATCCGAAGCCCAAGTGGGGCACTGGACAACACAACCCAGGCATCACGGCCCACCCCAAGAGGTGGTAAAAGTAAAGACAAAAAGTAAACCACAGATTGTATAAAACTGACAGACCATCCATTCACGATCCATCAGCAGAGGTGGCAAACGTAAAGACATTGTGTACTTAAGTAGAAGTACAGATGCTAGTCTTTACAAATACTCCAGTAAAAGTTGAAGTACTGATTCGACTTCTTTGTCATTCTTGATAGAATGATAGATGCGCAGTGAAATTTAAAGTAAGTGACATGAATGCTAATTGGCCTGGAGAAAATGATTTGACTAGACCAGTGATCACACAAACAGCTTAAAAGTATGGAAAAGGGGGAGTGATAAAGCTTGGATTTGGCCGGCAACACCTGGGAGCAGACAGATGTGAGACCATAGATTTTCCTTATTGAACTTACTGGAGACTAAGTTTCATTAGTCTCCAGCCTCCTTCCTTCCATTTACCGTACAGTCTCAGGGTGCTGGATTTGAGGTTAAACCTTCCATACATGGTCAAGAGCTTCCTTGTCTTCCTTGTTCTTGATTTCTATCTCCTGTCAACACCTACAAGGTGTTGACACCCCGGATCTTGATCCTACCATTCCGCTGACTCTTCAGGACTTGCCTGACCTTTTGTACTGCAGGTACTTGATGGTTGCAGCTTTCCAAGTGGCCTCTTCCTGATTCCATTTGCTTGTGGGATTTCCAAATACTTGTAGCTGTCCTCAATGTCTGCAATGTTGTCTCCCGGTAGTGCGATCCTTCAGTTCTGACTACCGTCCAACTGACATTCTGATATCGTTGCTGTATATCTTCGTGGTGTGGATCAGTGAATCGATGTCTCGTTCACTCCTGGCATACAGCTTGATTTCATCGATGTAGAGGAGGTGGCTGACAACTGCTCTATTTTGTAGTCGGGTTCAGACCTGTGAAGAACAGCAGTGGGGAATGGGCAACTCCTTGGTAGATCCCGCACTTGATGGTGACTTCGGCTATTGGTTTGAAGTTGGCTTCTAGTGCTGTTCACCACATCCCCACTGAGTTCCTGATGAAGACTCTTAGGATCCTGTTAATCTTGTATAGTTCTAGGCATTCCAAGATCCATGTGTGGGGCATCAAGTCATAGGCCTTGTAGTCAATCCAGGCAGTGCACAGGTTGGCCAGCCTAGTCTTGCAGTCTCAGGTGACTGCTCCATATACCAGGAGCTGGTGTTTTACGCCTCTGGTATTGGGGATCAGGACTGTCGGGCCATTCTCTGTGTTTCATCCCTTAGGAGCCTGTTCATTTTTGCTGCCAGATGCTCATGGAGTGCAATCAGCTTCTTCAGCCAGTAGGCATGAATCATGTCATGGCCTGTTGCTGTCCAGCAGCTAGATGTTTGCCACTGTAATGCTTACTGGACCCTGTTCAGGGAGTTTGCGGTGGTCTGCTCTTAGATCCACTAGCCACTGAGCATTGCCATTGTAGGTTGCATCCCTCTGACTTATGCTGTTCCAGTATTACTCTGTCTCCAGCCTTGGTGGTGCTGTTCTCATATTCTTCCCCTGCCATTGAGAGTACACCTTGGATGGTTTGGTGGAGTACAGCTGGTTTGTTCTCCTGCCCTCTATTTCTCTGGTATACCTCTTCAAGTAGTTGGCCAAGGCTGTGAGTCTTTGCTTGGCAGTTTCCAAGGCCTCAGGTATGGACTGCTTGCTGTACTTCTTCGGCACCTTCTTCATCACACCTTTCTGTAACGCCGATAGTTGGCCAACTTCCCTCTGTGCTAACTTGATCTTGGCTTCTAATCTCCTTCTCAATGTAGGGTACTGTTCCTTCTGGCTTTTCATCTTATAGCCAAGCATCTCACTGATTAATGCTGCTGTTGTGTAGATCAGCTGATTAGTCTCGATGATGGTTGCAGTAGGGATTGTACATAGTGCTGCATTCACATCTTCTAGTAGATCTTCAGAGGGTACTTCATGCAATCTTGGTAACCGGCTTCGTACGGTCCAGCTTTCCAGCTTTGCCATGATCCTATCTTTCAGGTCACTACTTCATACTTGGTGCCCAATCTTGGGTGGGGGTGATGATATCTCCCACCTGGCTCCCCCTTGCCATATCATTTGTGTTGCACCTCGTCGATCTCTATCTGTGAAACCAGTTCCTTCTTCTGAAAGTTGGAACACTAAGTTACTAGTTGTTTCACCATCAGTCTGGATGCTGGTTAGGGTTAGGGACCTCTGTGGCCAACAATAAACACCCCTCTAGCTCCACTGCCAGTCGGTGTTGTTTTCCGCCAATCACCACGCAGCTGTCAATCCTGCATCCTCGACCGAAGCTATTGGCTGAGTCTGTTTGAGTCTGTTTGAGTCTGTTTCGTTGGCGAGTGAATGGGCATTAATGAAGAAGCGCAGGCCACTCCTCTTACCCTGCTTTTTTTTCCAGATGTCTCCTCCGTCTACTAGGCCCCAGATTGAGGATGGTGACAGGACAGGACCAGGACCAGTAGTAGATTTGCATTACCACAAACAGGACAATGAAAACAGGAAAAATCCCACAAACTGCCATTTCTCATTATATAACTTCAGCAACAGCAAATTAATTATATTTAATACAAAAAAAGGTTGTCAGAAATCCCTGAAAGTGCAATCAAACTAGGCCAAGTAAATGCCATCCAGTGGATGTCTTGATTGTAGGATCCAAGGGTTCAAGTAACTGTGGCTCTGTGCATAAAAAACATAATTTTCCCTGTTATTTCTGCAATACTCTTCTTACTATCCAGAGATAGAGCTACCTGTGTACCTGGGCACCTTAGTACCCAGGTACACTGCACCTTCAGCCTGTTCATTCCTTTATTTTTAAAGGCATCAAAAAGGCTGCCAGGAAAGCCAGCACACACTAGTGTCTCTATACATTACATCCTCTCATGTTTTAAATTTATCTGTGAACTATGCGAAGCTTCAAAATCTCAACAAAAGACAGTTAAGGAATTGCAACAGAAGACAGTTGCATTGTGTAGTAAATTTCTTGAGTACCACTTCAAACTGGCTCTTTTTTCAGTGGTACATTTTACATTTGCTGAAGAGACAGTGCTTGGCATAATATTTATAAATCCTGTCCAGCACTGCCTTAATAATACAATAAATACAATCCCTTACTAAGGTTGCTATAGCTCAGGCTATAGAGCAGATCATCTACTAATCAAATGGTTGGTACTACTCATATGTGGTATGAGTAGTTTTTTCATGTTATGTACATACTAATATATATTCTTCTGACAGTTTTAAGTTGCAGTTTCTTTACTTTTGATTTAGGTTGCTCCTCTGTTTTGTTTTGTTTTTCTTTTTTTTTCTTAATGTAAAGAAATGGTTAAAAGTTCTACTGGCCAAGTCTAAGCTTATTACTGCATGGTGTTTTACAGATGCTTACACAGATGAAGACTTGATGCTGTACTGGAAGAGCGGAGATGAGTCCCTCAGCATTGATGATCGTATCTCCTTATCACAGTTTCTTATTCAGAAGTTTCATACCACATCTCGCTTGGCCTTCTATAGCAGCACAGGTATAAACACTTAACAAAAAATCATAAGTTCTTGATGCTTTTTAAATTATGTTTTTGTGTATCTATACAGGCTTGCACTTACTTACTGGGTACAGTCAACATATAACCTTTCCTTTAATTCCACCCTTAGGATAAATTCGGACCTTTTATATTGGCTGCTATGCTAGCATGGTTTTAAGGGGGAGGTTTTTAAAGAATCTGAAATCCTCAAATAGTCAAACTGAGCCTAAGTTAAACTCATTGAAAATGAAATCATTTATAACAGTAAATAATGAAAAGTAGAAACAACAACTTTAAGTTTACAGAGGTAGAAAGACATCATGGAATTAGCCGGTAATAACAAGTCAAATACAACTGTCAATCTGGTGGGACCAATACCAAGTCTGGACCACTACATGGAGTACAAATTATTATCATATCTTCATGTTTTTATGTTTCTTTATTTCATGCTTATCTAAATAAGCATATGGTTAGCCCTGCTAAGCCAGGTCTCAGTAAGCACGAGTAAACAACTGTCTTTCACCTCTCATGTTGATGTTACATCCTGTCTGAGATGGTTCCGTTTATTTTCCAGTGAGTGGACGTTTGCTTTGTTTAGTATAGCAATTCTTCTTGATACTTCGGAAATTAATGAGATGATGAAAAGCATAAACGAGTGTCTGAATAGCCTTGCAGGCCCGGTATCTTACCAGTGATACCTGTTATGGCAGATACCCTCTAAATTGGTGCACTGGGTTAAATTTTGGGGCCTGGACAGTAGACCTCAAAGTTCTGTTACTTTCAAAGGGCTAGAGTAACCTGTAAGACCTATTTATACCAAAAGGATTAATACTCAGAAATATACCTTTACTGTTTCACAAACGATTAAAAATGACTTTAATTACAGGATATCAAATTGAAACAATTTAGCAGGAGCAAAGCAAAAGCAGAATCAAATAATAATAGCAATCACAAGTCATTGAAATCACTTCATTGCATTTTTTTCTTTTCCATGTAATACTTAATATACTTTTAATAATTACACAGCATTTGAACCTTCAGTCAGCTATGGATACAATATCTTAATGTTTCATTTGTTTCAGGTAATTCTACTTCAGGTAGATTTGTCATTAATACATTCTCATATGTACATCCATCTTAACACAATTCAAATATAGAGGAATACTCACTTTTTCTTAATAGAACTTATTTTTATTAAATTATACATTATAAAAATCAGACATTCTTTGGTGGCTCCTCCCCATCCTGCAAAACACACACACACACACACACACACACACCACGCACCACGCACCACGCACGCACCACGCACACACACACACACACACGCACGCGCGCACACACACACACACCTCCTAAGGCTGTTTCTACACAGCCTCTCAGTTAGACCTGTCTTGGAATCATTTCATAGGTTGTATTGGCTTATTTGTTATATTTGTTCAACTTTAAAATACTTGCCAAGGTCGAAGCTTGATCACGTGGCTGTAGCTCAGGTGGCAGAGCAGGTCAGCCACTAATCAGAAGGTCGGTGGTTCGATCCCAGGCTGCATCCTGGCTGCATGCCAAATATCCTTGGGCAAGATACTAACCCCATGTTTGCCTACCGGTGGTGGTCAGAGGGCCCGGTGGCGCCTGTGTCCGGCAGCCTCGCCTCTGTCAGTGCGCCCCAGGGCAGCTGTTGCTACAATGTAGCTTGCCATCACCAGTGTGTGAATGGGTGTGTGAATGACTGAATGTAGTGTAAAGTGCTTTGGGGTCCTATGGACTAGAAAAGCGCTATACAAATGCAGGCCATTTACCATTACAAGATCACTGCTCAAACTTAAGAATAAGGATGATTTACTAAACCACACAAAGAAACTCTGACTGGATGTTAAGCCTTTTCGTCCTGTCTCTGAGGTGATGAGAGGTAAGTCAGGGGGACTTCAATCTGTCTCTATCCCACCTTTCTTGATACAACCTATCTACAACCTATCCCCAGCATAAACTCTGAAGTTCTGCATTCTTTTTCAAGGCAGAAATGTTAGTGATAGTATTTCTGGATTTAAAAAAAAAAAGGTATAGAAATTGTTTAACTACAATAAAGTTCAACTCACCAAATACGGATTGAAGAATTTGAAATAGCTGGCAAGAGCCACCCAGAGGGTGTGATTTTAAAAGCATCACTTTATTATTTGAAAAATACCTTTCTCAGAAACCCAGGAGACTCATCTTTATAAATGTCTTTTGCTGCTGAACATTCTAAATTTTGCTGCACAAATAACGAGCATTCAAACATTACATATTACATCTGTCTGAAAGTCTTTACACTGGTTAAGCACTTAGTTAAGCACTGATTTCATTTCATGAGTTTTTAAGCCAGTGCGTGGGTTTTATCAGATGTTTCTTGCGGATAACCAGTGGTTTATAATCGAGGAAGGCCCTGTGGATCTTCCAGCTGTTTTCTCGAAGAAGAAAAATATTTGGTTAGGCTGCTTTTTGTTTCTATCTGTCACCAGGCAGTTTTTATGTTATTAAGTTAGAGGGCAAAAGTCATACATTTTGTTGCAGTACTTTAGAGGAAATAAGAAGCAGAATTCTTCACTTCTTACATCTTACACCTACACATTTGACACCTCATGCAAAATCTTGACATTTCAGGTAAGGAAAGCTCTGACTGTTTTACCACTCTGAGAAGGTCTCTTGTTGTGTTTTCAGGCTGGTACAATCGTCTCTACATCAACTTCACATTGAGACGGCACATCTTCTTCTTCCTGCTGCAGACGTACTTTCCCGCCACACTCATGGTGATGCTTTCATGGGTGTCATTCTGGATTGACCGCCGGGCTGTGCCAGCCAGAGTCTCCTTGGGTAAAAAGAAAAAGAGAGAAAAAAGAAAAGAAACTCATATCAAATGTTCTTTGAAGAGGCTCTGCATGCCTGAGGAAAATCTGTCTCTGTGGAATGATGAAAGCTCGTTGTGACATAGCTCCACCAACTGGGAATACACACATACATGTGTCATCACACAAGCCTCCCACGCTATACCACGCTTACTTTTCTTTTGAATTATTTTCTGTATTGGGGCTGTTGCTGTACTTGTCACGCAGGCATCTGCTTTCCCCCTTACTTCTCTTATGGCTCAGCTTATCGCTCTTATTAAATTCAGTTGGTGGAGATGTTTTTACGTGACTGTTTGAAGGTCTGTTTTTTTCTTCTTTCTGCTTTGTGCATTTAATAATTTACAGCAGCAATTTAAATTTGAAAGTTGCTCAGGCAGTCCTTGGGCAGTCTATGCAGATGAAATTAACAGGTAGCTAATTCTGGTGTCTTTTCCTTTGAGAATTCTTTTAAGAGTACCTGACAAGTATGTTAAAAAAAAAAAAGTAACACATAAAGCAGAAAGGTTGGTTCTCTACCTCCTATTAAATTGAAAAACAGCTCACTTACTGTCTCCAAAAGTTGATTCTGTTCATCTGGACGTAGCGTTTTCAGTGGGAGAAACGTTTCGTCATCATCCTGGTGACTTCTTCGGTCTCAGCTGACTGCAGGTTTCCCCAAATCTAATTGGGGAAACGTTTCTCCCGCTGAAAACGCTACGTCCAGATGAGCAGAATCAACTTTTGGAGATTTACTTACCTGGATGATTGAGCATGCATCAAGACGTTTTAACCCGCACTTACTGTCATTCAATGGATTTACCTACAGAATTTTATTTTAGCTCTTCAGCTAATATTGCCAACAATGACCAGTTTAACCTGCATTGGCTGCTTTGAATACATGCTGTGTGTTCAAATAAACACCTTTGGAATGCTAACACAACTTTTGAACAATTCCAGACCTTTTACCTGCTTAAAGACTTTCTCAGTCAGTTGTTTGATAACATTTAAGCCTCCAGAATTGGGGGGGGGGGGGGGGCGTCTCACCTCTCAGTTAAAAGCTAAATGTAACCAATTTTTCATCCCATAACTGTAAACTGAATAGGTTTTGGTACACAGCTGGAAAAGTGCAAAAATGTACCAGTGTCTAAAATTATATGGTTCTAGCCAAAATTCTGCAGCCACCCAATTTTCTAGTGTACATGCTCCCCACCTCCTCACTTCATTAATGGAGTCATTCTACTGGACTCCCTACATTAATGAGCTTCTCAAACAAAATGATTTTTAATAAAATGGACTAGAGAATAACCTTTTTATTAACTTTACATGACATTTAAACTAAGCCTATTATGGATTTGATTCCCTTATAATAAATTAAATGTTAATAATGTTTCACTTAAATTAATCTTTAAAGACCTGTTTAACAAAGGACTTAAAAAGACAAAATATATACTCATTTTGAATAGGCTGTACATTTATCAGTTATCTATAATTGACGTCTTCATCTTCTAATATTCTCTTAATTTATAAAAAGAATTTCCAAATTCCCAGTCATGTCCTCTTACTACTTGTTAATCTTTAAGAAATGTCCCCATGCCACACAAACAATGTCAGCGACTGCTGTATGCACCATTTCATTTGGTTCTGTGGCCAACAGAACCAAATGTACTGATATTATAACTTCAAATGAAAAACAAGATGGAAAAAATCCAGACACGACCCAGCAAGAACTGTGCATGGTCAAGCTGTTTTAAGAAGCATTTTTCAATTCTATAAATATGGAGCTGTTAAAGATTGATACCATCAGTCGGAATGAACATGATAAGGTCTTTAAGCCACAGATGGTCCTTTTGAGAGATGAACTAACACACTACTAGTTTTGGTCTTTTTAAAACCAGGAAAACATGAAACAATTGCAAGCCTATCACTGAAGTGAAATGAGGCGAGCACTGTGTTGGATCTGAGGTTGCCGAACTCAATTCCTCACATTCCAAGCATGTAGGAGAAACTACTGTGACTTCACAGTATGCTTGGCAGACCAAATGTAGATAACATTGGTTCATTTTAAACAAATGAAAAGCAATGATTCATAGTTTAATGCGATTATACAGAAAATTGCTCATACTTTGCATGTGATCACCTGTAACACATTGGTCCTTTAAAGACATCTGGACTCATCCTGCTGTAAAAAATGGAGGTATTAGAAAAATGAAATGACATTCAGGTTGGCTCTCTCTCTTGCAGTAGAGTATCTCTTCCTGTTACAACACACACTGGTGTTTTTGTGTAGCTTATCTGCGTAGCCAATTTAATTAAAAACTCGCTAGCAGCATGGCCACTTCACTCGTCTCTCCTGCACTGTCTTGCTCACTGCTTCAGATGTTTAGTTAGTCCTTGACATCCTTGAGTAATAATGTGTGTTTGCACATTATTCCACACCAGTTGATTAATCAACCAAAGACCTAGACAGAATTTTAATTCATTCAAAAGCCTGACACTTAGCCTTGTCCACCCCAGCTGGAAAAATCAAACAACCAGTCTTATTTGTTGTTACCCATCATCCACCTAGGCTGAGGTTCTGTCCAAATTCTCAGACTTTGTCTCTGATTTATGGGGTCATATAATTGTTGGGGATTCTCTGTTTTCTTTTTATTATTATAGGGTCTTTACCTTACAATATAAAGTGTTTTGAGGGAAGTGTTATTGTGATTTGGCACTATATAAATTTAATTAAATTGAATTCTGTCACAGTCTGGCGAGAGCAGACTGTATGAATTGAGAAAAGGACCCAAAACGCAGACTCCAAGGAACAGGGAACAGAACTTGAAATGTTAACAAAAGGCGAGCCGTTTAATATGGCTGGTAGAAAAGGTACAAACAAAGGGCAAGGCAAACTGAAGCAAAATTAACACAAACCTAAACTGGGGAATCTAAAACAATAAGAAAAACCTAGACAAGAAACTTGGAAGCATGGCATGAACAACAGACGACCTGACAATCACACACTGAAAATAGAGGACTTAAATACACAGCAGGTGATTAGGGGAAGTGGGAACACATGGAGGAACAGCTGACTGACATGAGCCTAATGACAGGACAAGGGAAGTGAAACTAAATACAATGAACAAAGAACACACGACTCCTTCAAAATAAAGCAGGAAACATGAGACAGACATGATAATACAAACTTGATAACATAAGACACGCAGCATGAAACACGAAGGTTGAGGGGAAACTTAAATACAGGGGAAGAAAACACAAGGAGTCTAATAACCAAATGAACTTAGATAACCTAATGAACAAAATAAACTCAAACTTAAAACGCTGGGTCAAAAGACCCAGGATCATGACAGAGCCCCCCCTTCAAGGGCGGATTCCAGACGCCCAAAACCATGAACAAAGAAAAGAAGCAGCAAGAAAACAAACATGAAACAAAATCAACACAACCCACCCAGGGCGGGCGGTGGGGGTCCAGGATGGAGGGCCAGAAACAAAACAAAGAAACCGAAGCACTCAGTCCAAACACAAGGGCTTAAGAGTCCGAGACCCTGTTTCAGGAGGGCGACCATGATCTTGGCAGAAAAGGAGTTCATGGCACAGTAGTTCAGGTGGCCGACCTGGAGGCCGATGGCACAGTAGTCCATAGTTCAAGGGTTCAGGGGGCCGGCCATGTGGAAGGTGGCAGTGGAGAAGCAAGCATGGCTGGCCACACTCGGGTGGCTTGGCTCGTGGCCGGCGGCAACATGGACGAGACCTGTCGGGTGGCTTGGCTCGTGGCCGGCGGTGACGTGGATGAGACCTGTCGGGCGGCTTGGCGGGTGGTCGACGGCGTGGACGATAATCCTTGGATGGTTTGGTTGGTTTCCGTCGACAGGCTGTCCTGACAGGCTCCGGAAACAGCCGTGCTGGACCTGGACGTGGCTTGGCAGGTGGAAGGAGACAAGGCTGAGGCGTGGCAGGCACAGATAATGGCGCTGCAGGTGACGGCGTGGAAGCCGCAGGTGGCGGCGCTGCAGGCGATGGCGTGGAAGGATGCTGGGCGCGCTTGGCTGAACCTCCAGCTGGCACAACAGGACCAGGCGAGGCAGGGCCAGCAGGTGCGGAGACCTCTGGCTGAGGCGAGGCAGGGCCAGACGCAGCAGAGGCCGGACCAGGCGTAGCAGAGGCAGAGGCTGGACCAGGCAAGGCTGAAGACTCTGAGGCCGGACCAGGCAAGGCTGAAGACTCTGAGGCCGGACCAGGCAAGGCTGAAGACTCTGAGGCCGGACCCGGCGAGGCTGAAGACTCTGAGGCCGGACCCGACGAGGCTGAAGACTCTGACGAAGCTGGACCAGACGAGGCTGAAGACTCTGACGAAGCTGGACCAGGTGACGATGTGGACGGAGACACGGAGGCCGCAGCTAGCGTGGATGAAGACACATCAGCTGCAAACGTGGATGAGGCTGCTGGTGGAGCAGCTGGTGACTGAACGGGCTCCTCGGACCCTCCAGCTGACGTGGTGTGAAGCTGGTGCGGTTCTCCTGAACCCCCAGCTGACGTGGCATGAGGCTGGTGCGGTTCTCCTGAACCCCCAGCTGACGTGGCATGAGACTGGACGGGCTCCTCGGGCCCTCCAGCTGACGTGGCATGAGGCTGGTGCGGTTCTCCTGAACCCCCAGCTGACGTGGCATGAGACTGGACGGGCTCCTCGGGCCCTCCAGCTGACGTGGCATGAGGCTGGACGGGCAAAGCAGAAGCAGAAGCTGGACCAGGCGACAGTGAGGCAGCCGCAGGTGGTGGCTGGACGGGCTCCTCGGGCCCCCCAGCAGACACAGGAAAAGGCTGCACAAACTCCAACTCAGCCCCTGGCCCCAACCTGGCCTGGATCTCGGTCCCACAGTAGCTTAGCTGAGCCTCATGGCTAGCACTTCCAGTGCAAACAGTCTTATAATTTGGCTTCTTAGAAGCAAAGTTCATAGCATGATCAATACACTGGGATGCTAGGTAATTGTGCAGAGGGATAAGATATTCCGTGGAAGACTTGGCTGGTGATTTTTCAGTCTTAGTCATTTCATAAACATGCCCATGAACCTTTAAGGCAGTGTTTGTTCCAATATTGTCCTTAGAAAAAACGCGTGGATTCAGAATACAATCACCCACCTCATGTTGCTGTGAGCCGTGGTGACGACCTGGACGCCGCCGCCTCCTGGAAGCCGTGGTCGTGGAGGCCGGCGCCGCTACGGCTGAGATGAATGTAGCGCTGGAAGCAGCCACCGGTTGAGGTGAGGAAAACGCAGCACTTGTCTGCTGCAGTGGCGACATGGACATGGAGACAGGCGGGAGACTCAACACGCCAACTTTAGCTCCTATAGCTGGCATAGGGAGGGCTGCGTCACAGAGGGGCTGGAGTAATTCAGTCTGCATGCTGGGGGGCTGCTTTGGCAACACGGTGCGGATGAAGCCGTGCAAATCCTCCGACAATCCCTCCATGTAAGCCGGGTATGCAGACAGAATCCGGTGCAGCTGAACTCTAACTGACTCCTTCTCACTCTCCTGTCTGCACGCAGAATAGATTTTCCACTGTCCATGGAGAATGGTCACACGAGTGCTGAACTCCCAAAAATCCTCAAAGATGTCTGCTGGGTCCATTCTGGTCAGGTCGTTCTGTCACAGTCTGGCGAGAGCAGACTGTATGAATTGAGAAAAGGACCCAAAACGCAGACTCCAAGGAACAGGGAACAGAACTTGAAATGTTAACAAAAGGCGAGCCGTTTAATATGGCTGGTAGAAAAGGTACAAACAAAGGGCAAGGCAAACTGAAGCAAAATTAACACAAACCTAAACTGGGGAATCTAAAACAATAAGAAAAACCTAGACAAGAAACTTGGAAGCATGGCATGAACAACAGACGACCTGACAATCACACACTGAAAATAGAGGACTTAAATACACAGCAGGTGATTAGGGGAAGTGGGAACACATGGAGGAACAGCTGACTGACATGAGCCTAATGACAGGACAAGGGAAGTGAAACTAAATACAATGAACAAAGAACACACGACTCCTTCAAAATAAAGCAGGAAACATGAGACAGACATGATAATACAAACTTGATAACATAAGACACGCAGCATGAAACACGAAGGTTGAGGGGAAACTTAAATACAGGGGAAGAAAACACAAGGAGTCTAATAACCAAATGAACTTAGATAACCTAATGAACAAAATAAACTCAAACTTAAAACGCTGGGTCAAAAGACCCAGGATCATGACAGAATTCAGTTGTTAATAGTTTTGCAATTACAAGTGGTTGTGAGAGATCCAACAAATTTCTAAAACTCACACTTGTAAATTTACGATGATGTTAAAACACCTACTATCATTGTAGGTAATACACTATACAAGGCCACAACGCACTGATGTATTTTTATTATTTTCTAGTTATATTTAATTTAAAATGATGATTTTATTATCTTCAGCATATAATCAAATATCCAGCCTTGTCATGTCACATGCATTGCGTGGCAATGGTATTGAATCAGGGTAATGCTTTTACGCCTGCACTTTTAGCTATACATAAGATTAGCTCCCTGACTGAAGATAAAAAAGAATTATGCTGTAGTGTCTACAATGTAATATGAAAAAGATGCATGCTAAGATTCAAACATGTTTACTTTAGTAAAACTTTGTATCCTGTGTCCAGGCATCACCACAGTGTTGACCATGTCCACCATCATTACTGGAGTGAATGCCTCCATGCCCAGGGTCTCCTACATCAAAGCTGTGGACATTTATCTCTGGGTCAGCTTTGTCTTTGTCTTCTTGTCTGTGTTGGAATACGCTGCTGTCAACTACCTGTCCACTGTCCAGGACCGTCGAGAGCGCAAAATGAGAGAGAGAGTGCGGTCTCAGGTTTGTTTCACTGCACTGATAAATCAAAAGAGAAAGTAATGTAACTAAAAAGAGGTTAATTCATTCTACTCACAAGGCACACCTCAACTCCTTCAGCTGTATCAAATGGCAAAACTTCCAGACTCTCTTCCCGAGTCACTTCACTTACTACAATATCTGTCAGGGTTTCTGTTTTACAAGCAACACCTCAAGAGTGCCAAAGAAATAAAGACAGAAATAAAGAACAGAGAAACAGTGAGTGTTTGTGGCCAGCAGTTTGTTAGAGTTAGTGAAATTTGTGAGATCTCATCCCTGAATGATGTTTAACAGTTGAATTATACATTTAGGGAAACCAAAGAACCCTGGCTAGGTGGATGGCACAACACAGAAGAGCTATCTTGTCAGGCCAGGACTCCGCAGTCTATTTACACCTACAGGCCAGTCTTCCAGTGATGAGGATGTACACATCTTGGACAGGGAGAAACGCTGGTTGGAACAGAGTCAGGGAGGTCTTTAATGTTAGAAAGGGAACGAGCATCACTAAGCCGAGGAGGAGTCACCATCCTACAGTGCTGTGATTGCAGCTTTTTCCAAAGTATCTCTCCCCCCTGCCACTGCATTCGTGGTTCTCTGTGTCTGGCGCTGGGTTCTCGGGTGAGTACTGGCTCACTCCCAGCAGCTGCTTGGTGGGGCCTGGTCCCCCTGGCTCAGTTGGGCACCTCCCGGGGTGTGGAGGGCCCTTGGATCTCAGGTCTCTGGGCTTGGTCTGCTCTGGCGTAGCCATCTGCCTGCTGGAGCCTGCAGGCTCCTGTATACTGCTCAGTAACATTCAATATTTATTATTTACTGTTACTGGTTTGTTGGTTGGTTGTTGCTGTGATTCCCCTACTCTGTTATTTTCTTTTTGCTTTTTTTTCTTCAGCAGGTGATGGAGCAGATTTTTAGTGTCTTTTCTCTCTCTATCACTCTTCTCCTTTATTTTTCTTTCTATCTCCTTCTGTTAACTCAGGAGACAGACACATCTCTACTTTTAAGATTAGACCAAAGTGCCTTGAGGCAACTGTTGTTATGAATTGGCGCTATATTAATAAAACTGAATTGAACACCTTGTTCGAACATAAGAGTGTCCATAAATGCACGTGGCACCAGGATGCTGTAGGCCGCAGGTCGATGATCGATTTTGTAATCTTTCCACCAGACCTGCGACCATATGTTCTGGACACTCAGGTAAAGAGAGGGGCTGAGCTGTCAACTGATCACCACCTGGTGGTGACTTGGATCAGGTGGCAGGGGAGGACGCTGGACAGACCCAGTGCACCTAAACGCGTAGTGAGGGTGTGCTGCGAACACCTACAGTGTGCACCTAATGACGTTAGATAGTCTTTCCAAAGCGATTTAAGTAAAACAAACATACATGTGTAAATTCATTCTGAACGATTCTCGTGTTTCCTCATTTTTCCAATCTCATAATATAGGGACGTGTTGGGTGCCCGGAAGCGTAATACAGTGGGGCAAAAAAGTATTTAGTCAGCCACCGATTGTGCAAGTTCCCCCACTTAAAATGATGACAGAGGTCAGTAATTTGCACCAGAGGTACACTTCAACTGTGAGAGACAGAATGTGAAAAAAAAAATCCATGAATCCACATGGTAGGATTTGTAAAGAATTTGTTGGTAAATCAGGGTGGAAAATAAGTATTTGGTCACCTCAAACAAGGAAAATCTCTGGCTCTCACAGACCTGTAACGTCTTCTGTAAGAAGCTTTTCTGTCCCCCACTCGTTACCTGTATGAATGGCACCTGTTTGAACTCATCATCTGTATAAAAGACACCTGTCCACAGCCTCAAACAGTCAGACTCCAAACTCCGCCATGGCCAAGACCAAAGAGCTTTCGAAGGACACCAGGAAAAGTATTGTAGACCTGCACCAGACTGGGAAGAGTGAATCTACAATAGGCAAGCAGCTTGGTGTGAAAAAATCAACTGTGGGAGCAATCATCAGAAAATGGAAGACATACAAGACCACTGATAAGCTCCCTCGATCTGGGGCTCCACGCAAGATCTCATCCCGTGGGGTCAAAATGATCATGAGAACGGTGAGCAAAGATCCCAGAACCACACGGGGGGACCTGGTGAATGACCTGCAGAGAGCTGGGACCAAAGTAACAAAGGTCACCATCAGTAACACACTACAACGGCAGGGAATCAAATCCCGCAGTGCCAGACGTGTTCCGCTGCTGAAGCCAGTGCATGTCCAGGCCCGTCTGAAGTTTGCCAGAGAGCACATGGATGATACAGCAGAGGATTGGGAGAATGTCATGTGGTCAGATGAAACCAAAGTAGAACTTTTTGGTATAAACTCAACTCGTCGTGTTTGGAGGAAGAAGAATACTGAGTTGCATCCCAAGAACACCATACCTACTGTGAAGGTGGAAACATCATGCTATGGGGCTGTTTTTCTGCCAAGGGGACAGGACGACTGATCCGTGTTAAGGACAGAATGAATGGGGCCATGTATCGTGAGATTTTGAGCCAAAACCTCCTTCCATCAGTGAGAACTTTGAAGATGAAACGAGGCTGGGTCTTCCAACATGACAATGATCCAAAACACACCGCCCGGGCAACAAAGGAGTGGCTCCGTAAGAAGCATTTGAAAGTCCTGGAGTGGCCTAGCCAGTCTCCAGACCTCAACCCCATAGAAAATCTGTGGCGGGAGTTGAAAGTCCGTGTTGCTCGGCGACAGCCCCAAAACATCACTGCTCTCGAGAAGATCTGCATGGAGGAATGGGCCAAAATACCAGCTACTGTGTGTGCAAACCTGGTAAAGACCTATAGTAAACGTTTGACCTCTGTTATTGCCAACAAAGGTTATGTTACAAAGTATTGAGTTGTATTTTTGTTATTGACCAAATACTTATTTTCCACCCTGATTTACCAATAAATTCTTTACAAATCCTACCATGTGAATTCATGGATTTTTTTTTCACATTCTGTCTCTCATAGTTGAAGTGTACCTCTGGTGCAAATTACTGACCTCTGTCATCATTTTAAGTGGGGGAACTTGCACAATCGGTGGCTGACTAAATACTTTTTTGCCCCACTGTAGCAGAGGCCCCAGTCTGTGAGATCTTCAACGCACACCACCGGCAGAGCTGCAACAGCATTCCGAGGGAGACTGGGGACATTGAGTCCAAATGGACCATGTTCAGCATCTTCATTGAAGCTGCTGCATTTAGCTGCGGCCGCAAAGTGGTTGGTGCCTGTCGTGGTGGTAACCCCCAAACCAAATGGTGGACACCAGAGGTGAAGGGAGCCACCAGGCTGAAGAAGGAGTCCTATCAGGCTTGGTTAGCCAGTGTGACTTCGGAGGCAGCTGACAGGTACCGACAGGCCAAGTGGAATGCGGCTTGGGCAGTGGCTGAAGCAAAAACTCGGGTGTGGGAGGAGTTCGGAGAGGCCATCGAAAAAGACTTTGGGACTGCCTCGAAGAGATTCTGGCAAACCGTCAGGCGTCTCAGGAGGGGAAAGCGGTGCTCTACCTGCACTGTGTATAGTGCTGGCGAAGCGCTGCTGACGTCGACTGAGAAAATTGTCGCGCGGTGGAAGGAATACTTCGAGGACCTCCTTAATCCCTCTGACATGTCTTCCGAGGAGGAAGCAGAGTCTGGGGATGAGGGGAATGACCCGCCAATTTCCGGGGGCGAGGTCACTGAGGCAGTTAAACAACTCCTTGGTGGCAGAGCCCCTGGTGTGGATAAGGTCCACCCCGAGTTCCTGAAGGCTCTGGACGTTGTAGGGTTGTCCTGATTGACACGCCTCTACAATGTTGCGTGGAGATCAGGGGCAGTACCCCTGGACTGGCAGACGGGGGTGGTGGTCCCCATCTTTAAGAAGGGAGACCGGAGGGTGTGTTCCAACTACAGGGGAATCACACTCCTCAGCCTCCCTGGGAAAGTCTATGCCAGGGTGCTGGAAAGGAGAATTCGTCCACTAGTCAAACCTCAGATACAAAAGGAACAATGCAGTTTTCGCCCTGGTTGCAGAACACTGGACGAGCTCTTTATCCTCTCAAGGATACTTGAGGGCGCATGGGAGTTTGCCCAACCAGTCTACATGTGTTTTGTGGACTTGAAGAAGGCATTCAACCGTGTCTACGGGATGCTACGGGAGTATGGGGTGTCTGGCCCATTGCTACGGGCCATTCGATCCCTATACAACCTTTGAAAGAGCTTGGTTCGCATTGCCGGCAATAAGTCAGACTCATTCCCGGTGGGTGATGGGTTCCGCCAGGGCTGCCCTTTGTCACCGATTCTGTTCATAATTTTTATGGACAGGATTTCTAGGCGTAGCCAAGTGGCGGAAGGCTTTCACTTGGGTGGCCTCAGAATCTCATCTCTGCTTTTTGCAGATGATGTGGTTCTGTTGGCTTCATTGGGTGATGGCCTCCAGCTTGCACTGGAACGGTTTGCAGTCGAGTGTGAAGCAGCGCCGTGGTTCTCAGACGGAAAAGGGTGGAGTGCCCACTCCGGGTCGGGGATGAATTCCTGCCCCAAGTGGAGGAGTTCAAGTATCTCGGGGTCTTGTTCGCAAGTGATGGGAGAAGGGAGCCGAAGATCGACAGATGGATTGATGCTGCAGCTGCAGTGATGCGGACGCTGCACCGGTCCTTCATAGTGAAGAGAGAGCTGAGTGTAAAAGCGAAGGTCTCAATTTACCAGTCGATCTATGTCCGTACCCTCACCTATGGCCACGAGCTGTGGGTAATGACCGAAAGAACGAGATCGTGGATACAAGCGGCGGAAATGAGTTTCCTCCGAAGGGTGGCTGGCCTCTCCCTTAGAGATAGGGTGAGAAGTTCAGCCAACCGGGAGGGGCTCAGAGTAGAGCAGCTGCTGCTCCTCCACATCGAAAGGAGCCAGCTGAGGTGGTTCGGGCATCTGACAAGGATGCCTCCTGCAGACCCAGGACACGCTGGAGAGATTATATCTCTCGGCTGGCCTGGGAACGCCTTGGTGTTCTCCCGGATAAGTTAGAGGAGGTGGCTGGGGAGAGGGAGGTCTGGGCTTATCTGCTTAGGCTGCTGCCCCCGCGACCCAGCCCCAGATAAAGTGGAAGAAGATGGATGGATGGATGGATGGATGGATGGATGGATGAATTTAAACAAATGGCACTGTGCTGTACTGAGAGCTTTTAAAGCAGAAGTTTGAACAACACAATCCTTTCTGATAACAGTAGCTGAAATGAATAAGATTGGCACATTTACAAGACAGCTATCATTCATGCAGTGATCTTCAAAAAATCTGTGTTCCAGCTGCTCTGTCCTGGAGCAAAGATGAACTGTTGATATGTGGTGATGTTGCATGCAATAATGACTTCAGTTGTATTTCTTCCCTGCCAGTCACTGCCCTGTACCTGTGGTATTTCCCAAACACGAACCATGACCATGTTGGATGGCACCTACAGTGAAGCTGACACCAATAGTTTGGCTGGCTACACTGAAGAGCCCATAGTACCTGAGGAAGTACAGGCAGACATGCACGAGGTTTCTGATAAACCTGATCATATGGTGGTACACCTGTCAGTGAGTAGTGAGTCCACAACAACGAAGAAGAAGAAGAGCCTTCGTGCCCTCAACATCATCCAGAACACGCATGCCATTGACAAATACTCCCGAATGATTTTCCCTGGTTCATACATCTTCTTTAATCTTATCTACTGGTCAGTATACTGCTAAACAACACTGTCAGTCAAGACTGAGGCCAGTGGGGACATTAGCATACACAGATAGTATGAATGCTACATCAGTGAGACAAGGGACTAATTCTGAGTGCTGTTGTGCTGCTAAATCATTATAATGAAGGACATGAGCAAAACATGTCTTAAATGTTTCCAATGTGACTATGGGATGTCAATCAGTTAAAAAAAACAAAAGATATAAATTCTGTTCCAAACCACTGATGCTAATTCTTGTCGTCTCTTTTAGCTTTGTCAGTTGTCAGCTGCTATTGAAAAGGTCTTTGTACAAATTACTGCTATTCCTGGTATGATGAAGAAACCGTATATTTTGTATTTTAATTGTATAGATAAAGATACAGTGTATAGTGTCTGTATTTATGCCGTGAGGTTTTGATTGTTTATTTATATTTATTGTTTTGATTTTTAACAATCATAAAATGAAAGTCACAACGCATTGTTAATCATGACTCAGTTATTTTCATATATATATGATAGATAAATAATGAACTCTGATCATATTTGTAAGACAGTTATTTCAGCTAAAATGATATTCTGACCTAAGATTGAGGAACACACATTAAGAGTTCTCCGAGGTTACTCTGTTAGTATGCGCATCATCTTAAAGGCGAATAAGTGCTTTTGCTTTAACATGGATACCTGCTTCTATTTTGCTGCTGTCAGTTTCAGCATATTCATTATATGCTGTATAGAGTTCTAGAAACAAATATGGGAACAGCTCAAATGTTTTTGTGAAGAATGGCTTCTAAAAATATGAAAGAAATTGATTAAATACAAAGTGAAGCTGATGAATGTCAATATAGTAACATTAGTGGAAAATAATACATAATCATAAAGTTTTCTCTGTAAAAGAAATCAAGAAACTCAGGATTCATGCCGTGGAGAACAATACTATGTATACCAAAGTTTCTTGTAATGTAACCATAACTGCAGAGATATTTCACTTACCTAGGACACTTGAACTAAAATTCAACGTACTAGTAACACATGACAAAGATCAAAGGTCTGTTAGTCAGTATTAGAAGTTGGGCTGATCATATAATGGCTAACTCAACAGTAACTCAGCTGTTAGCATCTTGCTGGTGATTGATCAACACAATCACATAAAAAAAACAATCAATTCTCAAAAGACAGAGAAATATGTGGATATGCGTAGCAATGGGTTTGTTTCAATAATGTGAATAATTATTAGTCTGCATGGTTCAGAGCAAAGATTTGGTCTGCTGCTATTTTTAACACTTCTTTAGTCTGAAAGCCGCAGTCTGGCAGGACTTATTTACAATTTTTTACACTCTTTTAAATAAAATTAAAATGTAAAAAATATTTGGATGGAAACAGGCAAGTTCCAGAATTTTTCATGTGCACAGGCTGTGGTGGGAAGTTAAAAATACAAAGTGGTTGAAAATACAGCTAGTTCTAATGATTTTAAATGTTCAAACTCCTGCCTCCATACGTAAGGTTTAGAAGTAGTGCTGTCAGTGTTAATAAATGTTAATAACGAGATTAACGCTGACAGCACTATTTAGAAGACATGACTGCCTCATAAGAGTACATTAGCTGAATTGAAGCTCAAGTTTCAGCAACAAGGTAACTGAGCTAATAACATATGCTCTGGTTAATTTTTTTTCCACATTTTCCTTAAAACTCACCATTTCAGTGAGGTCAACAGACCAGTAGGTAGTAAACCTAATCACTGTGAGGCATATGAAGTGGTGTCCATTCTTAGCCAGTCATCATCACTGTTGAAAGGAAGGTGTGTTCAATTAGCACAGTGATGGATACTCATTCATCTAACAATATAGACCGGTAATGTTTCTATTATTTAGTATATTCTAGCCAAAAGTGATGGAATGGGAGAGGTTTAAATGGGCCCAGCTTCGGCTTTACAAGTTTCAGAAAACATGGCATCAAAAAGGTCATCATAAACCAGAAGTTTTTAGAAGACACCTCTGAAAAACATTGTTCTACAATTTAGATAAAAGGATAAAAATCAATTTTGGATGCCGATTACCTTCAGACCCTCAGATGACACTGAATTAAGAACAGGTATCATTCTATCGTGAACTGCATAGGCTCAGGAGCACCTCCAGAAATCATCTGTGAAGACAGTTTGATGGCTGTAGATTAAAACTCTGTTATACAAAGAAAAATTGACTTAAACAAAGTGGAAAACACTTCTGTAATAAGACAAACTAAAATTTGAAATTGTTTTTGGAAAACAGAATTGGGCACTTGCTCCTCTGGACTAAACAGGAGAGGGACCATCTGCCTTTCTATCAGGACTCAGTTTAAAGCCTCCATCTCTGATGGTATGGGGAGCAACTTATGTACCATCCAGAGTATGGCTTCAGGGAAGGGTTTGCATATTTCAGTAAAACCACATACTGCATATCTTCCAGCAGCATGGCCTTGTACTAGAAGCATCTGGCCACCAACTGAAAAACATTTGGTGTGTCTTGAAATGAAAAACATGAGAAAAAAGACCCAGGACTGTTGAGCAGCTAGAATAATCTATCAGGCTACAATGGGGCAACAATATTTCTCTCCCAAAAGAGCAAGATCTCCTCAGTTCCCAGACGTTTATAGACTGTTACCAAAACACGAGCGTAGTGCACCTCAGGAGGTAGTGCAGGTCATCTGCTAATGGTGGTTCAGTCCCTGGCTGCTCAGTTGACATGCAAAGTATCATTGAGCCAGAAACCCTAAACTACTTTCTGATGCAATTATTGGAGTGTGACTGTTAGAAAGCACTTAGGTGTAGAAAAAAGGTGCTGGTGTGAATGAGATAAGTTGTACAAAGCACCTTGAGGATCTTTGGGTTCCCCAACACACACCACTGGACGCAAGTCTCTGGTTATGCTTGTCCAAAGGTGATACTAGACCAAACCCAGTTCGCTCAGTTTTATTAACTGTCAGAGCTACAGTGACTGCCAATCAAAGTCAGCACCAACCACACCTCAGTGCCAGCTTACCAAGTGTGCACATAAATAGAAGAACATAGCAAAATAGAAATGGCCTCCTCTGGTACTGCCCCTGAACCCTCCGTTCCACAAAGACCAGTCGTACTAAACATAGTCCCAACTATTATCGAATTTAAAATTAGCTATTTTTTTCTTCTTAAAAATTGTACATTTTCTACGTTTCAACATTTGATGTATTTTCTATGTTCTGTTGCGATTAAAAGATGGGTTTGTAACATTTTCAAATTGTTGCATTTTATTTAAAATTTACATTTAATACAGCATCTCAAATGTTTTCAGAACTGCTGTTATATTTAAAGTTGTGTTTAAAGCCACATGTGACTTGGGATTATGTTTTGTAAACTGCTGCAATTGCAATCAATACTATGGGTAAAAAAGGAAACTACCTACCTCTTCTGGTGTCATGTTTTCTAAAACATCATGTTTCTCAAACATTGTCGTTTCTGTATGAAGATAACCACACATTTATGTATTTCTAGCCACCGGTTTTCTGGAACCACTTTCACTCAGCAGGGATTCAAGGTGTGTCTGACCAGTCTGCAGATTCAGATGTGAAACACTGATGCCCTGTACTTCTTCCTGCTGTGTTCACATGTTTCCTGACTTTTTATTTTGTTATGCAGTTCAACAAAGTGAAGTGTTAAAAACACACAATTCTGCAGTGATTACGGGGTGTAAACGGACTCACGCGCAGACCAGGGATCCTTGCAAAGAAGACAGTGAATTTATTTACAAAAGACACCAGGTGATAATATGCACACGTGCAAGAGGGGGGAAGCGGGGAGGTCCAGGGCTCCAGGGTCCGTGAGGGATCGAACAGACTCCAAACGTTTCCAAATTTCTCTCCTCTCTCCACCACAAGGTCGTACACGCCACACACTCGCTCGCAGGCGGGTCCGGGAAAGATCTGTACACAGAAACTCCAGTTAGAAACAGACTGACAGAAAGCAACTCACAGATTCTAATTTTCTGACTGCAGGGGGACTGCCGCTGACAGCTCAACGATCCAGCGACGATTAGCACAGTGCTGCTATCTTAAGTAGGGCTCGGGATTATGCAGATAGGCAGCAGGTGTGGAGATGGCAGGTGCGTGGGCCAGGGGCGGGAGCCCATAATGAGCACCAATGAGCATAATGAGCTGATCGTGCAAACAGTTCTTTTAGCCCGTTCTAATTTAATCACATCATGCCGAGATGATATTTGACAGTTGCTGGATTTTTCAAAGAATGTATGTATGTAAAGTACAAAGTTTGTTTGTTTGTTTGCTTGTTTGTTTGTTTGTTTGTTTGTTTGTTGTTTGTTTGTTTTTTTTTTTTTTTTTTGTTTTTGTTTGTTTTTTTTTTTTTTTTTTTTTTTTGTTTGTTTGTTTGTTTGTTTGTTTTTGGGGGGGGTTATATTTAATAATACATTTATACGTCAAACAAATATACTGTGACAAATTTTTTCAAATCCACCAATTTTATCCTATGACAGCATCAGTAATTCAAAATTTAATTAAGTTGAGTGACAAATGACATGTCCACAGTAAAGCTTTATTCATATCGATCGTAACTGTATAGATATTTATGTTTTTATTTGGAAGCTGATCCTGTATCATTAATAAACATGAAGCCTGTGACTGAAATGCTCTGTACACATGAGTTGTTACTATTTTTTTGGATATATTAAACACATTAACTCACTAAATCCTCTCATGTAAAATTGCAGTAATCCATATTTTATGTTAGCTCTATAGAGCTTATTGTATTGAATGATATTTATGTCATAATGTATGTGCAAGTAAAAAAAGCATAATTCAAGCAAATAATTTCATGTCACAAATGCAAGCAATTGCCTAAGCTTGACTACTTTATCTATTCTGTAGCAATCTTTAGCATAATCTTTACTTATATACTTTACTTATATACTTATATACCATGCATTTTAATGAATTTAGAATATTATAAAGCTAACAAAAGACAGAAAGCTTTTTCTTAAACAAGTGGAGAGCTCAATGTTTAGGAAAAATACAGTTTTTCTCTATTTAAAATGATGCCACTTGATAATAGCCTTGAAATTTAATAACATTATCAACAGTGTATCAAGAATATCATTTTTGATCTTTCCACACATACGTGTAAAAAAAACTCATGCGCAGTTTGGAATCAGACCAGCATGAGTCGTGCATTTCTTGGCCTCTGGAGGGCATCGACATGTCAACTAAACAAGAGGGGAATTTAAAAAGTGGTCATGTATTTGTTTGCACTCTTTTCCTCTCTTGTGTGTTGTGTTTTTCTACATGTACAGCACTTCTGTCTGCCCCCATGTTCCCGTATTTTAGAAAGATGTCATACTGCCTTAGAGATGTCTTTAAGATTTGAACCAAAATTAAAATGAGCAATCTTAAGAACACAAAATACTTGCTTTTAATGTAAACTTGAGATGTCCTTCTCAAAGTCATCAGAGTGCTCTTGAA